GGAACCCCGTAGCAGCCACATCCGTGCTCAAGCCTCCAACGAGGGAACATGCGGGAGCTGCACCCACCAGCAGGTGCCATACCTGCTACAGCAGGTGGGCGATACCGGCCAGGGGTCAGCCGGTAGCATCAGGACCGAGCTTCTTCGATGGGCCAGTCACTGTGCCTCCCCTCCGGTCCCCTCCCCCTATGAACATCAGCAGTCTCTGCTCAATGCCACTTGGGGGGACCAGCGGCATATCTCTAGGTGGCGAGCGCCAAGCTTGCCCAGGAAGGTACATTAGGCCCTGGAGCATACTTTGATTGGATCCAACATCCTTAGGGACATCCGTTAAAATTGGAACCAAAAAAAAAAAAAAAAAAAAAAAAGGAAAAAAAAAAAAAAAAAAAGGGAACCATACAGGATGTGGTCGGTGTTGTAACCTGCTTAAATAGGAATATTTTTTATTTTTTTTTTAATAAAAACCAGTGCATGTTAAATAGGATGAAGGCCCTGGCAAAATGTCTTGCTCGCTCAAGACTTCGGTCTCACAACTGATCCGGAACTTGTCCATCTTGCTTTGTCACTGACAAATTCTGTCGTAAATGTGCACCGTCCCCAATTTGACATGGTAGATTGGGTGCTTGGCGGGCGATCCTTCCGTCTCGGAAAGCCCCTGATCTCCGATATGATCGGCTGCTGACCCAACCAAATCTTCTTCACTAATCCCTGCCTCTTGGACGCTGACGGTATGCCTTTCCCCCTGCTTGGCACTGGATCCTTTGGATGTGCAGGGATGGCTGGCGGTGTCGCTGCATTGAGGCACTTGTGGAATGAAGGCACTTGCACATGGAAAGACGAAACACAAATGCAACACATTTTGCATGGACTGCGTGACTGGCGACAAAACTTGTACTATATGCAACAGGCTATCCCCCATGGATGGGTTTCTGCCCTTGCCCAGCGACAGTTTTTACCAGGGGCCTGGTTTCGTGACACCACAGATGCACATACACAGCAACTGTGGCATCTTGGATCCCGACTATCGGATACCGAACGGGAAATGACTTCTTGGACTCTCACTACTGGCCAAACAGGGTTGGGTGTCCCCCTCAAGAGGACATCTGCGGCCTCCATCTGTTATGACCTGGCACAACTGACGTCAGTCAGTGTGATACGACACCAACAAGGACCGCAGATTCACTACTGCCCCTACTGGACCGCCACTGGAGCAAAAGACCTGACCTTTGATCCCAGAGACTCGTACTGGACTGATCCTCGTCGGCCTAATCAAACCCTCTCCCTTCGTCAACACTCTGCCTGCATGGCATATGCCAAACTCCTGCCTGATGTGGATGTTGATTGGAACGTCATTACTACATGGCGCAAATGAGGACTGATAATCCACCAAACCAACCTCACCGCCTTTTGGCATCTCCTGCCCTCCCTGTCAGTTGCCAAGCATGCTGGTTTGCTCTGACTCATCCTGCCTAATGCTGTACCCACCGCTGCCTTCCTGTATCGCGGACGGAAGCACAAGGCTCCCACTTCTGTACTGTCTGCTCTGCAGGCATTTGGTGGAAGACCAGCAGCACCTCTGCGTCACATGTAAACATGCCCGAGTGACTTGGGCAATATGTCAAAGCCGCCTACTTCTTCCGGGTTCATGCGCACATATGTGGGCCACCAATGCTATCCTTTCGGGAACAGCACTGCTGCATCTCACCAAGCAGCGACCTTATGTCTACTAATTGGTCAGGGCGGTCATTCTGTGGTGGAGGCAACGACCCCTGGTAGCCGTCAGTTCCAATGTGGTCGGAATAGTACCAGGGGGCGGTCCCCAGGGAAGGAAGCCTACCGGTTCCGGTGCTCCTATGACAGTGCCCACTATGGGTGGGAATCTGGCCTCTACAACAACCTGGGCTTTTTACAAGAATTTTTTTTTTTTTTTTAAATGGCGGCAACGAAATGCTGTGGTCAGGTCTTCGGACCTCCCTTCGGCTCCGCAAGTGCTTCAAAGACTAAAGAAGGACATGCACCACATCATCTGCTTGGATTGGGGCAAAAAGATTGTTTCATCAACTTTAAGAACCTGTGTGCAGGGGAGGGGGTCCAGTGGTTTCGCCAACACTGGGCCAGCTGCCCATCTCTGGTCTCCATAGAGGCTTCCACTGGGGACATTCGGTTTGGACCTTTCCTTCAGTAACTGTTGCATTTGCAGTCTTTTTAATCCCAAGTGGGATTATTTGTTGACGCCATATTTTGAACTGTTTTTTTTTTTTTTTTTCAAACAGTCCCTCCAGTGCTAGCGATGCTGTTTAATCAGACATCACGATGGTGACCTGTGGGCAATTTGGTTTTGGACTTTGCACGTGCTTCTTGATTCCTCCCCTTTGTCGATTCCTTTACTGTTTGGCCTGCAGAGGGGAAGGACGCACGATCCCCTCTTATTCTTTCAACATTAAAGAAATGTTCAGCAAACTACCTCAGGAGGAGATCTGTCGAGCGGTTGACTGGTTGATTGACTATTATCAATCCAAAAGACGCAATGTGATTTTCGCATGAACACCCGAGGAAAGGGAGCAAGCTTTGGTCTGACCACCGGCGGTGACCATCAGGCCAAACTGGGGCTCGAGGATATTCGTACCTTTTTGAGAGTTGACATCAGACACACATATTTTTTTCTCTACTGGGGTTTTACTGAAACAAGAGTTGTGTATCCCAATGGGGAAAAGCACCAGCCCCTCGCTGGCTTTTGCATAATGTGTGCATTTTCTGAGTACCGTTTTTTGGTTGAATCGAAAACTTCTTCTCGTTGCCCCTTTTTGCGACTCGTCTGATTGACGATGTCATGCTTGCCATCTCCTGGAAGAACATGGATATGGATACTGTGTTGCGCATTCTGTCTGCATTTGACGCCTGTTACGCTGAAAACTTACAACTAAAGAGAGAACGGACAACGGCTCAGCTGTTCTGGATTTCCTGGGTTGTCAGATTCGAACTTCGCAGTCGTATCCTTCGCAGTCGTATCCTTCGCAGTCGTATCCTTCGCAGTCATATCCTTTCTTGGGCTGTGTACAATTATCAATCAAGAAATGGGGATTGTATGTGGTCAGCGGACAGACTGAAAATCCAGAATGCACAGTCGTTCCATTCTTGGGGCTGCAAAAGGCAAAAAATGGCAATCATCGGGAGTTACCTCCACAAAATTGATCGCAACACTACTATCAGATCAGAGATAGTCCGAAGAGTACTCAACGTACAGCGAGAGCTGGCCCAGAAAGATTTACCGAGGGATTTCTTCTTGCGAGTGTTGAGACGTTTTGCTGCGAGACGAGGGGAGATTTGGAGACTGACCGTTGAATTCCTTTCTTTTTTAGCTTTTTGGTGTGTTACCATCGACATGCTTGGTGTTGTGTGTTTTTTTATTTGATTTGATTTGAGTGTTGATTGGCATGATTCTGCGCTGGTCGGCGCCTGTTTCGGATAGAGCTGTCCTTAGCCCCATAATTTGTTGGTTTGGATTCAAATATGGGACTTCAAGTTAGCTGGAGTAACTGTTCGGACAGGGTTGTGCCTCGGTATGTAGGCTTAGCTATAGCCTATAGCCTATAGGCTGTACTTGCTTTCTGATGGTTCTTGTTTTCTCTCGGTGCTTGGACTCGAACCTTAGCCGCCGGTACTGGGTCTAGGCCGATCAGATGTGCTGCAGGGTCGATAGTCCAAATCAGGATCTGATCTCTGTCAGTCCGGTACCAATTTCTCCGATTGGCTACTCCGTTTCGGGACTTTGGAACCATTCCGGTAATAGCCTGGGCCTTCGCAGGATGCTATATTAAGATTACAAATGATTGTTTCGTCCTCCTTAGTTTGATGTCTGGTTAGACCGCTATTGCAGTAGTTGATCTAGCCAATGTCTTGGGAATGAAGGATTGAACGGCGGTTTCTGGGTGTTGCGGAAGCGTGGCACGAAGATCATTCGAGCGTGTTCCAATCTTGTAATTCAGTTGACTCGAAGGGTAATCCCTCGAGCTTGACGATGATTTATCTACGTGTGTTTCTTTTGAATCACTGTTGATTGGCTTCCTTGTTTCTCCACACACTGCAGAGGGTTTTTGCTACAGGGGAGGGGCTCCGCCTTGTAGAGAAGGATTGGCGACCCCTGATGTCGCATACCGTAAAGGTGCAGACCAGAACAAGAACCTCACATAGTACAAGATAGCACAGCGGAAGGCTTAAATACCAATGATCAGCCCAACCAATATTGCAATGCAGACCGAATGTACATCATCATCATTCCATGGTGTGAAGGGGCCTGGCACTCACACAGGATGAATGCGCCAGTCCCCAATCATGCACAGGCGAAGAAGAGGGGGGTTAGAGGAAGAAGAGGGGAAGATGGGAATGCCGTCAACACCAAGTCTTTGGTACAGGTCCCAAATAATCCCTCGTCAAATGTCTGAATCCCAATGTCGAGTCTGGATCCAATGTCGTCAAGTCCCCAAAGTCACCAATCTCTCTCTCTCTCTCTTAGTCTGCAGATACTGAGAAGTGCGAGAGGCTGAGGGAGAGATGGTGGACTTAGAAGAGGAAGAAGAAGAACTCTCTCTCTCTCTCTCTCTCTCTCTCTCTCTCTCTCTCTCTCTCTCTCTCTNCTCTCTCTCTCTCTCTCTCTCTCTCTCTCTCTCTCTCTCTCTCTCTCAGTCCGGTACTAACCTGTGAAGGTGGCGCCTTGTTGCAGGTACATCAAAGACGAAGCTGGAGCTATGACGCCACAGGTAAGTCTCCCTGGCCTCCGCCAACCATCTCTCTCTCTCCAACGCTACTCTAGCTCCTAATAACGCCCAGCGCTGAAGACTACTGCTAACGCTACTACTACTACTGCAGCGCTCCTCCAGAGTGCTGCTGCCGAATCCTGAAGACTGGCTCCTGCCTCCTGCACGTGAAGTGCCTGGGAAGTTCCTACGAACTACCTCGTGACTGTCTGCAGCCTACAGGGCGGGCCAGTCTTATATAGTGCTGGCCCGTCCAGGAGGCTGCTCTTGCCAATTCCAAAACGTGCCAGACCCTGGTGTTGAAGTTCAAACAAGGGTTGTCTTGAAAACAGGCCAAAATGGCCTGTGCTAAAACCCTGGTCTGGTGCCTAAGTTTCAGGGTAGGTCGATCTTATGAGGGCCTAAAACTGGCCCTCCGTTTCAGGCTGAAAAGACTCAGGGCCTGGAGGGCCCTGTTTTAGGCTGAAACGACATAGGGCCTGTAGGCCCCTGTTTTCAGGCTTTTAGGCTGAAAACGGCACAGGGCCTGTAGGCCCTTGTTTTCAGGCTTTCAGGCTGAAAACGACACACGGCCTGTAGGCCCTTGTTTTCGGGCTTTTAGGCTGAGAACACTGGTCGGGCCCTGAAGGCCCGTGCGGCTGCACAGTATGCCACGCCTGATCTGGACTTCTTTTCATCGTTGTGCATATTGCCTTGGGCACTGGACTCTAATATGATTTTGTTATGAAAAGAAAAAAAAAGAAGGATCTGGTACATGCTTGTATGGAAGAGCTCCTGCAGCATTTGGCATCTTGCCCTTCTTTGGTGTCTATAGAATCTAGAAGCATGTACTGGGGATTTTCGATTTCGTTCCTTTTCGCAGCTTATTTAGCCTTTGTTCTTTTTTCTGTTTTCTTGTTCAATAAAAACTACACTACATTCACCTCTCAAATCTTTCATTATCTTTCAAATTCTTTCAATTCACCTTCACTACCTACCTACCACTACTCCTAAGGCTTATACAGGGGACCCCTGCGAACATAGCTTTGTTGTCTCCCTCCAGCCATCAGAGGGGATGCATGTTGCCCCCCGCCCCACCCATGCTGGTCAAGGCTGGGGTGGGGCCGCCAGTGGGGGTCCTGTCCGGCTAACGCAAAGACCAAGCATTTTGCCAGTAGCTGCACCTCCCTTTTCATTGTCCCCCACCCCCAACAAAATAACAGCACTGTGTAAGGCCAACACTCTCCCACACACCACACACAGGGTCCTTGGCCAACACAGGTGTGAGTGTGCGTGTGAGTGTGAGTGTGAGTGCGAGTGTGAGTGTGAGTGAGTGTGAGTGTGAGTGTGAGTGTGAGTGGGTTATTTAGGGGCTCGTTAGACACTCCTCGGGCCGTCCTCGGGGCCCGAGGGGTTTTCCTTTGGGTCGCCGTAGAGAATTCCCACCGTCGTTCCACTCATCCTCGGGACCGTCTTCCGAGGAGGATTCCTACGGGGGCCCGCGGCCAATCGCATAATATTATTGCCGACCGCGGGGTGGGGTGGGGTCGGTGGTCCATGTGCTGTTGTCCGTGTGGATGGGCCTGGTCCAGCTTGTAGTGGCGGGAAAATTTGAATCCGGGCGGCGACGTATAAAAAAAAAAAACAAATTAAAACGCAGGCACGTTGTGGTTCGAAATTCGAAATTCGAATGACGCTGCTGGGGTGAGGGTGGTTCGTCTTGTGGCTGCGGCGGGTGGTGGAGGACGTAGGAAAGGAAGATCTTTTCAACAGGGGTAGGCGGGGTCGGCGTAAGCAGTCCTTTCGGCCAGGCACGGAAGACGTCCAGCGTGAAGATGCCATCGCCGTAGTCGTCGGGCCCGTTGTGTGCGGAGAGCAGCGCGGCGCGTCGTCTACGCTGCTAAAGTGACCTTCGTTGCGTGATTGCTGTCCATCTCCGGTGCTGCGATTCGCTGGTGTGTCGGAACTTCGGTCGTGTCTTGGGTGTTCAGTGGCGATGGAGGGCGGGCGCATTGACGAACTTGGGAAGCTGACGACGGCGGAGAGGACGGCAGTGGCAGCTGTTACCGCGGTCCTCTTCCGTTGCCAGGTGGAGCGGACGATGGGGAGACTGAAAGCGCAGGTAAGCGTGCCGCGGAGGAAGGCGATGCAGTGTATGGCGGTGGAAGGGTTGGACACCGCCGCCATTTGCGATGGCGTGCTCCAGGTGTGCTGCGCCTTGGGTTGCGGGGCGATGCCCAGAGTGCCGCCCAGGTGGTGGATGAAAAGAAGGACGGGTGGGGCGTGGGAGGATCTGCGGCAATGCGATGATGTGACGGAGGAATACTTTCGGGACAAGCTGCGCATGTCGCCAAGCGTCTTCCGGGAGATTTCGGAAGCTTTGTCGCCCTTCCTGCAGCGGCGTGAGACCTTCTACAATGAACCCTTACAGCCTGATCAGATCGTGGCGTACGCGTTGTACCGGTGGGCTTTGGGGGAGACGTACGAGAGCTGCACGTGCAACTTCGGCATGGGCAGAGCTTCGGGTTTGGTGGCGGTGCGGGACGTGACTGCGGCGTTGCTGATGGTGTACCGTGAGAAGATATCATGGCCTGAGAGGGTGCGCAAGTCGGTTGTCCTCTGTGCATTCGCTGACAAGGGGTTCCCCAACTGCCATGGGTGCATCGACTGCACTCATATCTACATAGACAAGTCGGCGAACGCCCCTGGCGAAGACTACTACGATAGGAAACGATGTTTCTTAGTCGTGGCGTAGGTGGTCGTCGATCTCAACTTGCGTATGCTAGATGTTTTCGTCGGCTATTCACTTGTCGAGTCTGTGGGCGCGTGTCGAGGCCGGGGAGATTTTCATGGGACCTCCTGTCATGCTCCCCTTCGGCCTCTAGACGAACGGCTACCTGTTGGGCGACAATTTTCACCCGTCGTCCGAATGGATTGTTAAACCCCTATGGCTGCACTACCCAGCACCCGTCCGAGATGCACGTCAACAACAAGCAGAAGACCGCGAGGGGGGCAGTTGAGAGGGCTTTCGACAGATTGAAGGGGATGTGGAGGTTGTTCCTGCTGTCACATAAGACGAACATGGAGATGCTGCCGCAGCAGTTTCTCGCGGTCTGCATTCTCCACAACGTACTCATCGACGTCGGCATCCCGTTTGACGACAATCTCTTGTGGGAGGTGGATGCGAATGGAGTGCGCCATCGTGTGGATCTAGGAATCCAGCGTCCCTTAAGGCCGATGTGCATGGCGAGCTCGATGGGGGATGCGTTCATTCTGAGGGACGCACTGGCGGAGAGGATGAGTGGCATGTGACCATGATCCTCCGTGGAGTGATTGTGACGGTGGACCCGGAGGCGCACGGTTTTCGCCTTGTGTGTTTAGAGATCGTCGATTGTCGTTCTTATCGGATCGTGGTGGCCCATGTTCGTCAGTGGTTGTGTTGTTCACAATTCGTTTTACCATCGTCGTGCAGCTAGAGGTTCGCAGACGGTCAGGAAAATGCATTTCTTTGTTGCCTACGGTCGGACGCCATGACTGACAGACGCGTCATGGCCTTACTTTTTTGGCTTAGCAATCGCCGTATCCTTCTGTCGCTAATTGTTGTTTTTGTTTGTCGGGCGGGTTTTTCATGGGCACTCAATACTGCACATTGGATTACGCGTTTTTGCTGAGAATTCTGCTTGTTTTTATATTTCATGAGCTTCTTTTACGGAATACCGTGTGTTGGTGCTTCCGACGCAGTCGTGTGCACTGCTTTGTGTTTTTTTAACACACCATAGTGCTAAATTATACTATGGTGCAAAATGTTATATAATGGTGCGTACTGTTGTCCTGTTTACGGAAGTTGTGTTTTCGTTCAGCAAGTGCCATCGTTGTTGTGAGGGTCATTGTGATTCCGAAGCATGCATGTGACGTGTGTGTCGTTAAAAGACGAAAAACGACTTCCATTTCTCCTTCGCACAACAAGCATAGTTGGACAAAATGCCCACAAATCCAGCGTTGAGTCATATGGGCGCATGCCAAATGAAGACAACGATAGAGTGAAAGAGTCGGATGCGGAAGAAACATCCATGGACTTTGTTGTCGCGCGTTCATGGTTTCACGTTCATATTTTGAACGCGTTCAACGCCCGTTCATTGAACGGGGCTAAACGTGTTGAACGCGTTTGCGCAGGGTGCAGGGGTGTGGGCTGGGGGTCGTGTGTGTGTGTGTGTGTGTGTGTGTGTGTGTGTGTGTGTG